CTAGATCTTATCGGTCATGCGTCGATATGGCCTTTTCCGACCAGATCCACGGTGGATCTGGCGGCAAAGGCCAGATCTACGGCTAGTCTGGGTCAACCGCCAGATCTGACCGTATTTGCTCTCAACGACGGCCAACAAACGGTCGTCGTGATGGTCAACGATGACCGTTTGTTGGCCGTCGTGCCGACTGTTACGGCCAAAGATCTGGCCGGAAAAGTCTAGATCGGCGCATACCGGCCAGATTCAGCCGGTAGTGCGCCATCCTACCAGATTCCGACCATTTTCCGATGGTGGTGGCCGGAATCTGGTAAATGTGGATTATTGGGTGTTTTTGTAATTTAAAAAAAAATATTTAGGGGTTTTAATTAAATTATCAAATTTAAGGGGTTTAAAAAAGTTGATAATATTGGGAGTAGTATTCCCAAACACTGAGTTTTTGGGTATTTTACTGTTTAACTTTTTTGGGAATACTAAAAGTAGTATTCCCAAAACTGAAACAAACGCAGCCATTATTTCTACCAATATTTTCAATTATATTTTTTGTTTATTTTTTTATCTGAGAAATATTAATGTATTTTTTTAATTATTTTTAAACCTCTTAAGTTTATTAATTTTATTAAATAACCTTATAAAAAAAAGTTTAAAAATTAACAAAAATACCTCCACTCACCCATACTTATCAGATTTCGATAACCACCATCGATGATAGTCGGGATCTGTCACAATGACCTACAAATAATCAGAACTGGTTGGTAACTCATTGATCTGGCCTTTTCCAACCAGATCTATAGTGGATCTGGTCGAAAAAGGCCAGATCTGGCCGTTAGCGACGGCCAAAGATATGGTCATCGTTGACGGTCGCTAATGACCAGATCTGGACTTTTTCGGCCGTCGACGACCAGATCTGGCCATATATCTAACCTTTTCCAACTAGATCCATCGTGAATCCGACCGAAAAATGTCATATCAACGCCCTACCTGCCAGATCCGACTGATCTGCGTCGTAACCACAATTTTTGGCCAGATTCCAGCGATGGTGGCCGGAATCTGGCATTGTGGGTGGGTGGGGGTATTTTTGTCATTTTATAAATTTTTATATATTGGGGTGTTTAGTTAAACTAGCAAACCTAGGAGTTTTTTTTTTTTTTTTTTGAAAATATGTAAATTTTACCTTGTAATACTCTCTTATTCAACTACCCAATATTATTCCCAAAATCCTATCCAAAATAATAAAACAAACGGACCCCTGGGTTCTTAAAGATTCCTCATCTACATTCAATTTCTCAAGCAAATTGTCATGGATCAAGGTATGTCTTCTCCTACATTATGAATTGTGAAAATCATCCTGTTCAAAGATCGTACGCATAAGTGATAGAATTTGAGGTGAGTTTGACTCCTCACCCAATAAGACTTTATTGAATGGGAGGATTACCTCCTCTTATAAACCAATAGGCTTGAGAGTGTCTAGTCTTTATGGGACTCCAACACTCCCCCTCACGGTCAAACCCATATGGTACCTGTTAATAGAGGTAGTTGCCGGCTTTAACTCCCCACTCGCTGGTCAAACGCTTAGCTCAACTGAATCTGAGCTCTAATACCATGATAGAATTTGAGATGGGTCTGACTCCTCACCCAATAAGGTTTTATTGAATGAGAGGATTACCTCCTCTTATAAATCAGTAGGTTTGAGCGTGCCTAGTTGGTGTGAGACTTCAACGATAAGGTTTATGCAAAATTAGGTTTGAATTTGCATAATTAAGAACTTCTTACCAAGTTTTTGCCTGCTTGTTTAACCTTTTAGGTGGATGGTAGAAAATAAACGAACAAGTGCTTAAGATTCAACGTAGCAGCAGCTAATAATTTAAGTGCCTCATTTTAGCTACATTATGAACAAGTGTTTATATTTTAAGGTATTGACCGGGTAGATGGAATGAGAGTAAGCCATGAGGTTTGTTAATTAACACAATAAAAAAGTTTGTTTTAGTTGAAATATATGCAAGATTCATTATAAGACTTTAGACTGATTGTGCACGCATTTCTTCGAGTGATTAATATTGCACTTATAGTTCTCTAAACCAATTATAAAAGTTTGCTAGTTTGACTAATTTTCTTGTTTTACCAAGCTAAAGTCGTTCAATTTCTATTTTAATTATTACAAGTATTATTTAGGACGTCTTTTTTTTTTTTTTTTTTTGTCAAGTTTAGTTATTGTTTTTTGTGAATTTGATAATTTTCTTGAAATTTGAGAAACTTCTCATGAATTTGAGAGCTTCTTCTCATCAATTCAAACCATATTAGACTTTAAAATATTCAGTGTCCATCTTGATAAGAGTGTAATTTATATATTTTTTATTCCTTTCATATTATGTTTTTGTTATGTTTTATGTATAGTTGAGTTGATTAGAGTTTATTTTGTAAGTTTGACATATTTGAATAGACTTTAAGAAATAATTGAGAAAAGATTAGTAAATTTCAGATTTTCCAGATTTTTCGTTATTCTGACTAGTGCTGCATTTTTCAGGTTTTTCATAAAGTCAGATTTTTCGATTGCAAAAGTGTCCTCCAGAAGAAGTAAAGTAGACGAATCAAGCTTTCTAGGAAGGTATTATTGGCGAGAATCCGAGTTCGTTTGGGACATCATTAGTTGTTGCAAACCAGACCTGGAATCCTAGTTGTGGAAGGATTTCTTGGCTGAGTATTGAATCTTCGAATGGGCCTAACTGGAGTGTCAGATATCGAAAGCGGGTGATTCAAAAGCCCAGATTCATCTACACATCCGGGACTACAATTTTTATGAGGTGACCAAGCCCAGAAAAGATATTTTACATTGCAAGAATCCTGGTGCAAACTGGAGACGATTTCTGGAATCCATATCTGATAAGATTTTGACAGTTTTGGAAGTCTATCTTATAGGAAACGTCTAGGAAAGTAATTTCCGTGATTCCTGGGGTAGAATTAAGGAAAAAAATATGTTATTTATTCATGAGTTATTAGGTTAAACGGGGGAGAACAACAGTAGATTATTTTTCTTAGTTTTTTTACTTTCTACATCAATATGTGTGGCTGATTTTTCTTCTTCAGTTCAAGGGGATTTTGAAGCCTGAATTCATGTCATTGGTGTAACTTAACTTCAGTAACATTGTTCTTAATCTCATTCTTATTGAATTGTTTATGTTATTCTGTTTTAATTGTTTATGATTTTTGTTTGGATGATTTAGTAATGGCCTACTAAGTTGTTTAATCAGAATTTCATCTGTTAGAATTAGGAATTGTGATACGTAATTGTCCTCTTTCTATTCAATAAGTAACACATGATGATAGATGATTATGGACAAGTTTTCAGTCTGTTGTCTTGAATAATGTAACCTAAGTTAAATAATCCGAGCTTGCTTGATTGTTGCTTAGATTGATCTATTCTCCTAATTCTTAAGGCTGCCATTGAATTAAATTTAGAGAGCTTGTTCTAGGTTGTTCAAGGGTTAGTATCTACTCGAAGAGCTTATTTCAGTAGTGATAACTAAGGGAGAATTCGGGTAACAGAGCTTGTTGTTTCCTAGGGTCAGTAGTTCCATAATAACGAGATAGAATAGTGTTACGGTTAGTTCATATCCAATGCATATTTAGGTGGATCTTGAATCGAGAACTGATTGTTTTTAATCTAATATTTTCTACCATTAGCGATTGATTTGTTTTACTTTAGATTGCATTGAGTGCACTCCCTTTCATTACTGTTGTCATGTTTACTGTTTAGGATTTTATTTGTTTTATTTTACTATTATTTTTGTTGTGGTTATTGGATAGAACATAGGAATTAATCGAACCATTCCCTGTGGGATCGACCCTTCCTTACCCTTTATGCAATTCAATAGTTAGGTTAGGAAGGTTATTAATTTGGAGCATTCAACACGCTACCACATCTATTTAGTTTTGTTGTTATATTTTTCTAGTTATTTATTATTTAATTTTTAGTATATCAGTGGTTATTTTAATGAAGTAATTGAATCCTTTCTCAATTGTTAAAAAAATTCGGTATTTGACGCGCACTACAACAAAAATGGTCTACGGTAACACTGGATAGTAACACTTTTCCTTAAAGTGTTACTGTAGGCTATCTATGGTAACGTTTGATGTTAAAATGTTACGATAACAATTTTTATATGTAACACTTTAACTTTTTGTATCACATTTTATATCAATGGTAACTCTTTTTTGTAAAATGTTACTAATATAGGAACTACAGTGACATTTTTGAAGTGTTACAATAAACTTAATAATATAATAGTTTTTTTCATAATGTTACCATATAATCAAAATACAGTAACATTTTATAAGTGTTACCATAAATTCAATTATTTACCAGAAAACAAAATATCATTCCCGCCAACACGAAATGAGGTTGATTTTGTCTCTTTTATCGTTTAGGGGCCAAATCATATTATTTTGGGTTTATTTTGTTACTTTTCATTCATGTAGGGATCAAACAAATTTTTTTACTTAACAAGGAAAATAACACCTAATACCTGCCAAAATTTCACAAAATTTCCTAATATCCTCGTTCACTCGTTTTCCCAAAAGTCGTTCAATTTCTAATTTAATTATTACAAGTATTAATTAGGACGTCTTTTTTTTAGTCAAGTTTAGTTATTGTTTTTTGTGAATTTGATAATTTTCTTGAAATTTGAGAAACCTCTCATGAATTTGAGAGCTTCTTCTCATCAATTCAAACCATATTAGACTTGAAAATATTCAGTGTCTATCTATTCAGTTTTGTTGTTATATTTTTCTAGTTATTTATTATTTAATTCTTAGTATATCAGTGGTTATTTTAATGAAGTAATTGAATCCTTTCTCAATTGTTAAAAAAATTCTGTGTTTGGCGGTGAGAACGTAAAAGTAGGAAATACAAGAACATTGCTGGATAGAGACAGAAATCAGCCAGATTTCTTCACTGATAAATCTGGAATCACTTGTTAAGAGAAATTCAGAGAGTTCTGAATAAACTATATACACGAATTGGGTAAAAAAATCCCACCTACGGACCCAATAATGAATCCGAAAACAACTCCAGCAGTGAGTCCATAAACAAGCTCCTTTTTTGAAGATTCACTTGGAGAAGGAACAGGATTATTATTCGTTCTTGTTTGAATAGAACATGAGATTTCTATAATATCACCACACAGACCTGGATTTCCTTCAAAGTTGGAGATGGAAAAAGTATGAAACTGACCTCCTGAAGGTATCAGACCATGAAGATTATTATTCGCGACGCTGAACTCCGACAAGGAGTAGAGACCACTGAGCGAGGCAGGGATTTCACCAGATAAATTGTTTCCGGATAGATCCAATCTCTCCAAGTTAGTGAGTTTCGATATTTGATCCGGAATGTTTCCAGAGAATTTGTTATAGCTGAGATTAAGCAATTGAAGAAAATGTAATTGGCCAATCTGAATGGGGATACTGCCACTGAGACTATTGTTTTGGAGGAATATCGACGGTGGTAAGCTGAGGAGACTATAGTATTCTTCATTAGAAGCATTGATATTGGGAGGAATAAAGAGAGGTAACTCTAAGCGGCTCCCACCAATTTTTTTTCGCAGCCTGTAATTCTGATACCAACATTGGCAATCCGCCGAGTTCCTTCGGAAACTCTCCGGAAAGAAGGTTATAAGACAAGTCGATGTAGAATAGACTTGTCATAGGCCCTAACTACCCTGGAATTGAACCAGTGATTTGATTCAAACTTAAAGTCCAAGAACTGTAATTTCCTGAGATTACTTATCCAGGAAGGAACTTGACCCTGGAATTGTGATTTACTCAAAGCCAAACCTGGAGATTTGGAAATGCATATGAGAAGGTAATATCATCAGGAATCATTTCACCCTTATCTATTTGGTTGCAGGTTTTGCAAAGAGTGGCAAAACATGAGAGGAATAGTAAAACAAGCTTCAAGAACAAGCTAAGCATGGTTCTTACTTGATTTCTCCAGGCTGAAAAGATGAAGAAGTAAAGATTTTAAAGTATAGGCAGCCAAGTTAATATTTCAGCTACGTTGAAATCTGTGATAACAGATTATACTGCAAGTTATTGACCAGGCAGGGAGGGTGTGAGAAAGCGACGTGAGGTTAACATAATTAAAAAAAAAAAAGTGTATGTTTTCATCAAGGAAGATTTTCATTATATGGCAGAAATCTTCAGAAAATTAATCATAAAAAAATATTAGTGGGAAATTTTGTCAATTTTCAGAGTTGTTTTAAGAAGTTTTCCAAGGGACATCTTTGACTTAATGGGTTCAAGTCCCAAGTCCTAACGTCAAAATCACACTATATGACACTATTAAAAACGTCATTCATTACGAGTCAAGAACTAAATTATATATTTATGGTAACAATATTTCCGCGCCCCTTCGTCATGGAAGCTGAAATTAAAGAAATTGGCAATTTAATAATAATTATAAAAGTATATTAATATGTTTTCATAGAGATATTGCACAATTTTATTTGACCCACATAGTGACGTATATTGACTGTAGCTATAATTCAAAGTCTTGGAACTTTGATCAGCTTGAGTGCTTGACTTGTTAGGTTGAAACTTTTTTTGATTTGACATCTTGGAGTTTTCTCCTTTTATCCACATTTATCCTTTAATTCCAATTATAGTACATACGGTCGGAAATAGCCTGACTAGATTTACGCAAAATCTAGTCATTAACGATGATATCATAATCGTGGATGTCAAAGTAAATATGATGGTTAATAGCCGAATCTATGGCACATAACGATTACAGGTTTGGCTATTAATCATCATTAATCTGATTGAAAGTGATCAAAATCATTAATCTGATTGAAAGTGATCAAAATAAATCTAATCTTTTTCAGTTAGATTCACAGTCATATAGTCATTTTTAACAATATCAATGACTGAAAACATCCATATCGATACACGGTTAGTAAATTTGGCCAGTCGTATACTATTTCATCGATTACCAACGTAATACAATATTCTTTGAACTAAACACATATTAAAGACACACAAAAAATTGTTCTTGGCTCATGATAATTGTAAGAATATTAAATATATGAAATAGTATAATTTTAAAGAAACATTTAAGAAAAAGAAAAAAGAAAATTAAGAGTTAATATTACAGCAGAGAACATTATCGTTGCGAAGATTTTGTACGAAGGAGAAACATCGTAGCGTTGATGTAAAGATAGTCGCCCGTTTTTCTAAAGGGTCATCTCTAATGCGGTAATCACCATTACCCAAGGGGTCCACCAAGAGGGTCATTACCATCGCCCACAGGTGAAGGAGTGTTCACCCAATTTGCTTCCAAACAAAGTGGCTCATTCTCATTTGTTGGCCACTCAAACCGCCTAAGACACGCATCAATTACTAAGTAGTTTTTCTGTGAAAGATTGCCCAAAAGGGCTCACCAAATTAGAAGAACTAAGGAGCATAACAAAAGCCAAAAAGGAAGAGCACCATCAGAAAACTTATTGAATTTCACTTGTTAACCCTTTAGAACCATTTCTTGGCATTAACAATCACCAAACCCGATTTGTGAGTTCTATCATAGCTTTTTAATTAATATTTAAATATGAAATTGAATATATTTAAATATACATATAACATATTTAAAACAACCACCAATCCCTCCACCAATACATCACCCCCCCCCCCCCCCCCCCCCCCCCCCCCCCCCCCCCCCCCCCCCCCCCCCCCCCTCTTCAGTGGTGCTTGACAATATCCGGAAATATCCTATTCAAATTCCTCATACAGATTAGCAGCAACCACAGGTAGAGGTGTTAATTTAGTCAAGTCCACATGACATAAATATAATGGGTGCGTTTGGCTGCCTGTTTTTATCCATATTCCCAATCCTATTCTCCAAATAATGTTTGGCACACTATTCCAGAAATATTACTCTATTTTTTTAATTACTTTTAGACCCCATAAGGTTATTAATTTCACTAAATACCCCCTAATTTTTTTTTTTTAAAAATTAACAAAAACCCCCCCATCAACCCAATTTGTCAGATTCCGGCAACCACTGCCGGTGATAGCCGAAATCTGTATAATGGCCGGAATTACACCGATCTGGCCTTTTCCGGCAAGATCCACCACGGATCTGGCCGGAAAAGGCCAGATCTGGCAGTCAGCGACGGCCAAAGAAATGGCCGTCGTTGACGATCAACGACGTCCAAATCTTGGCCGTCGTTGACCGAAAACGACGGCCACATCTTTGGCCATCGCTGACGGCCAAAGATGGCCGTCGTTTTGGCCTTTCCGGCCGTCGACGGCCATAACAGGCCCTTAGATCTGGCCTTTTTTGGCCAGATCCGTGGTGGATCTGGCCGAAAAAGGCCATAATGATGCGTTACGGCACAGATCCGATCGGTCTGTGCCGTAACGAAATTTTCCGGCCAGATTCCGGCGGTAGCGGCAGGAATCTGACACTGCAACTGGTGGGGGTGTTTTTGTCATTTTATATAGTAGGGTCTTTAATTAAATTAGTAAACCTATGGGCTTTTTCAAAAATTTTTTAAATTTACCTCGTAATACTCCCCTATCCAACAATCCAATATTATCCTCAAAATCATATCCAAAATACTACACCAAACGCACCCATTTAATATTCCCCTAAAAAAAAAAAAAAAAAAAAAAGATAGAAAGAAAAAATAAAGGGCTTATTACGACAGGAAAGTCATCATAAGCTGGGCCACCGGGCAACCGCTTAGATTTTTAACATAAAAGCTTGCTTAATATGTTCTCATACTGGTATTTAGTTGAAGAATTTACACTAACTCGGTTCACTAAGTATTTAATTAGAGAATTGAAGTATTTTTCCCTCTTCCCCAGTTCCAAGTAATGTTCAAACTGTGACACAGTCTTCAAATAATGTCACAGTCTTATGATTATTTTCATTGTTGCAGGAGTTGAAACTCATCTCCTCTAAAACTGTACTTATTTTTGCTGTCTCCATCAAAATTTCCAACAATATATTCAGCTCCTGAATGCTGCAAAAAAGACAGGGATGCAAAGGATGAAAACAGCCGAAGTGATCCAAATTTGCCACGCATGCTTGCCAAACAATTGCAGGCACATTACCGCCAAGAGGCCGTAAGTTGTCGCAACTATTCCCATCCCTGTCAAGATCCTGGCAACAATTCGATGGTTTTGGTAGGGGCATACCAAAATAGAATATATGAAACAAATGAACCCACTAATATTGCAAATCTTTGCAAATTCCAGGAGGGATTCAGAAAAAGGAGTTAAAGAAATTTTGTTGGTGCTATTATTCATGGACCCAAAATTGCTCAAAGTCAGTGCAATTTGAGCAACAATCATGATGAATACCTTGGTTTTCGTTCGTCGGTGGAACTCGCCATCTTGAATTGGAACACAAAGCTGCTGAATCCGGATAGAAATCATCCCAGGAATTGTGTTGGTGTTAGTTAAGGATGGATTCGGGAAAGGGTGAAGTTTGAAAGAACCATCAACGGCTGTGCGAGAGCTCCAGCCTGGAGGAGAAACGGGAAAGTGGGAGATAGTCGAAGGGAATTCCTCAACTGAAGTTGAAGCCGCGGATGGAGTTGATGAGGAAGACATGTTGAAAGAGAGAAAATGCCTTCAGAAATCAGAAATTGAAGGAATTTGGAGACGTCTGGGATTTTCTTATATGGCTGTTTTGAGTACAATTTCTATGCAATTGCATGAACTACAAATCTAAGCTAAAAAAAAAAAAAAAAAAAAAAAAAAAAGGGGAAACGAAGAAGAGAAGATGCCGCAGGCTACACTCCACAGCCGTTCATGGAGGAAATTTAATTCCTCGGACATCCCAAGTTTGCATTTAACAAAATGACCCTGAAAATCTTTTTGATTTTTTTTAATTTAGAAAAGCTAACGTGGCACACTTAGGATTCATTAAACATGTAAAATTGGTTAAATTGAAATGATTTAAATATATGTGGGTAAAATCATAATTAACAAAAGTTGTTTAAATTTTGAAATTTGAAAATGAGCCCCACCCATTCAAAATCGCTTAATCAAAGGTGTTAGCTAAAAAACGATTGAAGAAGACTATTCTTTTCTCTGCGATTTCCGAAGACTACAATCCCAAATTTCGGCAAATTTTCAATCCTAAAGCTTCCTTACACAAAACCATGGCTGACATTCACAAAGAGGAGGAAAATCTAACCCCACTTCGAATCCTAGACTCCGATGGCACCAGCAGTTCAAAGGCTATTAAAGACGACACTCCGATGGATCATCCGATGAGTGAAGGTGGTCCATAAGCAGAGGAGACGACGGTGGCACAAGAACAGAGAGAAGAATCGAAAAACGATTCTAAAGAGGAGGACGCCAGCGAGAATTCAGGTGAGGAGGAGGACGTCGGTGAAGAAATGGTACGTATTTTTACTTGTTTTTTTTAATTGGATGAGAAAATGGATTGATTTGTGCGAATTTGGGGGAGATGTGGTTGTGGCGTTTTGTCGAGCAATTGGCAGGCATTGGTGGAGTGGCTTTGTTTGGGTTCCATAGGATGGAGAAAGGCAAGGGAGGTTGTAAGGAGGTTGTTTCAGGGAGTTTAGTGGGCTGGGGATGGCAGGAGGTGGCCGAATTTGGTGGGCTGGAGGGCTACCCTGCATATTGGCAAGGCTGGCTACGCACAGCACGCGCAGCACTGTGCGAGGGGTTGCATGATTGTTTGCATAGATTTTAGAATTTAGTGTGAGATTCAAACCAAGTAAGGTGGGGGAACATATTCATGTGGAAGTTGAAAACAAAATTAAATGTGTATAATTTGAAGATAGATTACATAAATGTGTTCCTCACTTATTTATTATCCAATATAAATAGTTTTCAATTAGGCTTTGTGGACCATTCATGTTTTCAACATTTGCTGCTTTGTCTAGATAATGCTATGGAAAATTGAGATATAAGCATATTGCTTTCTTTAAATTTGTATTTTCTGGGTATTTGTTTATGAGGTTTATGTTAAAATAAGGGGTTTTGGAAGAAGTGTTGGCCCTGTTTGTAAACGCTACTAGAAAGAGAGGTGGTGTGTCATGTCTACCTAAAAATTGACCCCCATGAAGAATGGAAAAAGAAAATTGCATAATTATGTTTTGTTTAAGTACTAGAAAGAGAGGTGATTGTTGTGTTACAAGTGTTAAATTGCAAGGCTGACTATGATGCATCGGATTTTTCATTGCTTTATTATATAACGAGCAAATTACTTTCTTTGTTATATTTTGATTGAATGTCAAAACATTAGATGACTGAAGGAAAAATATTAAATCTCATTAGTTATATGATTAGGCAACTTATTATTAGAAGGTCACTACTTTTAGGTTGGCTCACCATCACCACTCAACTTTATACCATAATTTCTAAATCAAACACAACCAATGAAACCACAAAAAGGCTTTTTTTTATTTTTTATCATACACGTGAAAAGATTAGTTGAAAAGTTGATNTGCTTTAAATGTGTTTTGAGTTGTTAACTGTTGCGATGACAGGATTAGTAATGAGCTATGCAGTATGGTTTTTATGTTCATTTACATTGTATGATGCTCTTTCTTTTTTTCTCATACACTTGAAAAGATTAGTTGAAAAGTTCATTGCATGATACTTTTTCTTTGTTTACAAAGTATGTTGGCAGCCTATTAGTTGTTTTGGTTTTTTTTTTTGATGATATTTAGTTTATATCGATTATGCAGATTTTCCGGAGCGTAAACTATGAAGACTATGGGTTGGAGGTTGTAAGCGATAAGGTACCGTACTTCCCTGTAAGGGTGACAGTTAGGTCGAGTTGGCAAGTTTTATGAGAATAATAGAGATTTTATGGGAACCGAGGAATGGTTTAGACCAATTCAAAGAGAGTTGCTTCGATCATTTTATGAAGATCAGAGAGACTTGGAAAAAGGTGTTCTGGGGGCAAGGAGTGCATTATATGTTGCTGCACTCAGTTAAAAGCAAAAAAAAGAAAGAAATGTGGTTGGTGGTGGATAGAAAGCCACTATGTTTTGGGATGATGGAATATGTCTTGGTGACAGGCTTAAGATGTGAGAAATTTCCAAAAGCAGCAGAGCAATAGAGAATAAAGAATAGTAAGGCAGCTGTAAACTTGGCTAAAAAGGTTTTGGGGGAGAAAGCATTTATTACAGGACGTGATTTAGAGGAGAGGTTAGAAGAAGGTGGGTATACCTTTTCGAAGAGAATCAAAATGTGCCTGGTATGGTTGGTGAATTTGATCCTAATGGCTTTGACTCAACAAAAGCCGTTAATATGGATTGGGTGAAGTTTGCAAGCAATTTGGACTTCTTTAATGCTTATTCGTGGGGATGGGCATCATTTACGCTAACCATGGACTCCCTGCAAGGAAAAGACATGGCGTTAAAGCAGTCCCAATCAGTCGATAAGAATAGAGCAAGCACATACAATTTGTTTGGCTTCCCATGGGCAATGTAGGTAAATATTAGGGACTTTTTGTTATATTTTTTGTATTATATATGTTTTAATTATGATATGGACTATTTTTTTACAATGTAGGTTTGGATGTATGAGGTCGTCCCTGTCCTGGCTAAGGCGGGGGGAGGATGAAGACTTCGGATGAGCGACCACAATTTCCTAGGATGTTGAGGTGACACATCAAGAAGTGTACCCATTGGGATTACGACAAAAGAGGCATCGAAATTCAAGCGTATGGGGTAACATTAAAGGATTAAGCTTTTGAATATGCACTTGCTTTTAAATGTGGCTTAAATATGATTGATTTTGTTTCTTATTGTAGGGAGTTGTCCGTCCCCTCCCCACCGCTATTAGGGGTGAAACAGGAGATGAGTATGTTACATCCTTCGAAGCATTGAAGGATGAAGTAGATGAAAGGATAGACCGCCTAATGGGGGACCTAAAAGGGGTCACACATGTGAGTGCAGCTACACGACCACTGCTTGAGAATGTTGGTGACGCCGAGGATGATAAAGCTCCAATCGGCGTGAGGGAGAAGGAGGAGAAGAAATAGGTTTGCATGCCTCTACCCAATTGGAAAATCGGTACAACAAGTACTGCTTTGCCGAGGCATCGGGGTCGGGAGAATGAGGTGGTTGACCTCATAAACGGTCTGTTTGAGAGTTTTACAACAACCATTTATGAGAGGTTTGAGAAGATGGAAGAGTGGATGAAAAGGGTGGAGGAGAAAGTGGATAAAGTGGCAGAGAAAGTTGGTAGGGTTGAGGAGGAAGTTGGCAGAGTATTGAAAGCGGTTGAAGTGCAACCTGAGCTGAAAAGAGAGAGCTGAAAGAGTAAGTTTGTCAAATCTCCTTACATCGTAGCAACGTATGGAAAGAAAAGAAAAATGAAGAAAAAAATTGAGGAAGTCCACGAAAGTGGAGAAGCAAAAATGGAGGAGGTTAAGAAGTTTGTTGGAGGAAGTGGGGAAGTGATAATGGAGGAGGGTGAGGCAGGACGCGAAGGAAGTGGGGATGTGCAAATGGAAGGGGGAGGAAGTGGATAAGCGAAAACAGAGGAGTTAAAGGTCGATTTGTATAGGCCAAAAGAGGAGGAAAAGAAAAAACTCTTCTATGCCTATTACAATGAATCTAGAAGTGATGCCCATGTGAAGTGCAAGACGGGGATTATCCTCGGGATTGGTTTGAAAAGATGTTGACGATGGGCAGGTGGCTTGACAACTCGGTGAGTTATTTTCCCTTATTTTTGCTTATGTTTTCCATGAGGTATTGTATATTTATCATGTTGTTTTTATTTGATACAGCACATCGATGAGGTATTGGCACTCATGAGGCTACAACAAAGCAGTACTGGTGATATATTGTATCCTGATTGTGCCATCATCGATGTGGCCTTTGGCCAAATGCTAGTAACGACATATGACACTTTAATGAAAAAGGCCACTGGTAGAGGTGCAGCAAGAGGAGGCAAGCAAAAAAGATTGGGCACATATGACTTCGACGACATCCTTGATGATTTTCAGTTTGATGACAAGATAATGCAATATGTATGGAGGGAAATGCCCAAACATGGCCATAGCTGGGCAAAGGTTAAAAGAGTAAACTGCATCTTCAACATCAAGGATATGCACTGGATAACCATCATCTCACTTTTAGAGGAGGGCTTGCTAAAGATACTTAATTGCAACCCAAGTATTTGTCGAGAGAGGCAGTTAGAGACGGAGTTGGAGCCACTGTGCGTATTGTTCCCATGGCTGTTGCATGACAGCGGGATGTTTCAACACTTCAGTGACGAAGTACTAATGGGAAAGTGACCACTCAAGTGTCTTTTCGTCCCGAAAAATGACTCAAGGTAAAATTTATATACAACTTACATAATACAATTGTTCTATAAGCTGATTCTAATGCTAATGTCTTCCTCCTATTATAGTGTTGATTGTGGGGCATATGCACTAAAACTTATTGAGTTCGACATGACCAACACCATAATGGACGACTTGAATGACGAAACAAAGAGCAACTATCGGGAGTGCTGGGTTGTTGAGTGCTTCCATGGGCATATGGATCCCTTTTGACTAACCAAAACCCAATCCTTGTCATTGTTGATGCTGTCATCAAAAGGTATGAAGTTGGACT